AATGCCACAAATTCTCCTAAATCACTCGTACGCACAACTTAAGAACAAATCTGTGCGTACGAACGGTTCTTGCATGAGGCCCAATGTTACAAAAGTGTTTCTTATTTTTTTCTTCCTAAGCTACTGTTTTGGAAACATACCAAAAACAACTTTCAGATTTTTTTTTCTTGGCACATGGTGAAATTATTCTAACATGCTGCACAGTTTGTCCCGCAGTCACGCAAACGAACCTACAGAGAGAGACYTGCCGTGGTGTCTCTCAGGTTTGCTCCAAATGTTTCACTGCATGTACACTCAAACTGAAGGATCAGATTACATGTGCTGAGCTCTGGATTCCAAAATCCAGCCGTGTTTAACTACTTCAACTGTGCTTACAAGGAATGTTTCATAYACTATATTTTGTCAATGAAACATATTTATTTAAAAAAACACCTTTGTTTGGGACAGAGTTTCCTGCTCTGATCAAGCCAAACTGCTGTGATGTGACTCACTAACCTGCATAAAGAGTACTAAGAGGTGGGAGAAAAATAAAATGATAATTCAAGGAGTCATCTCCTCTGAGTCRATTTATGCTCATCTTTTTTTGGCTGCTGTTGCTATTTAAAAACCTCGCATTCCAGCTGTTTTTAGACCTTTTTAACAGTGAGGCCTCATGGACTCTGATGACAGATTCCACCTACACAATACACCCCCCTCCCTTCCCCGGACGCATATCTCCTCTGTGCAGGTGGAAATCAAAGCAGTCCTCCTAAAGAATGAAGCTTGACGCCAACTTTCAGTGATATTTGTAATGCACTTGAATAAATCAGTTTTGGCAGTAATCTTGCTCTTTTATCTCTCATTAGTTGAAAGAAGAAAAAAAAAAGGCAACCCCAGCGTAGCGCGGCCTCGTTTGATGTCACACCAAAGCCAAAATCAAGAGGACGAGATGAGAAATGAGTGCAGGGATTAGGCGACTTGAAAGAGTTTAGTGAGATTATCGAGGGGATGGAGGTAGACTTTGTGACAGGAAACTGATTACAGCGCCGTGCGGAGGGGAGAATGAACCGACAGGGCTCACGTTCAGGTTTTCACGCTGCGTTAAAACACCTTTTGATGTCTTTCTCTTTGCAAGGCAATCARGTTATTATTTTCCAGTTTGCATTCCAGCCAGACCACCTGTAGCAGTGTGCGAGGTTGTGTGTTGTTATGGAGAGCGGTCCGTGAGTCATGCCGAGTGCTCAGAAATAGGCCACTCCAACGAGCTGGCTCCATTAGCAGCAGCACACAGAACTCATGACACATTCCTTCTACTGATGCTGTCTGAAATAAATCAACGATGAGCTGAACTGTGGGAGCAGGTGGAGTTAGTGAATCATGTGTTTAGGTGCATTATCAAAATTWATGGAAAGATTTCTACTTTTATTCCTTTTTCTTATCAGAAATTGGAATCACACCTTGTTTTAATGTGAAAGTAAACAAGCTGAAATMTTCCACACTGTTTGAATTTGTCATTGAAATGCCCTAGTCTGTTAAAGTGGTAGTTCAGATCTTTTAAAGTGCAGTTTTGCAGAATTAGTATTTTACCTAATATAAATAGCTCTTTGAACAGTTTGGACCAACTARGTTTACAGCTCTGATGGGCTGACAAGCTAATGGCTAGTCTGAACAAAATACTYCCATCTCAAAACAACTTAGAGCCTGATCTACTAATATCTCAAATAACAAATGCTAAATTGCATGTGCTATTAGTGAGCATGGTGCAGGTGATCTGCTAAGATCGCTGCGCAAATAACAGGTGCAAAAATGGTGAAGACRGCCCTAAAATGAGGATTTTGTGTGTGCTACTGACTGTCACCATGGAGAGTTTGGGAGAGCAGAGTGGCTGTAAAAAACAAACAAACTGGAGTACCTTCTCTGTGTTTATTTAGTTATTTATTTTTGGCCGGGGGGAGTTAGCAACTGCGCATATCAGTGCTTCTGCTCTGAATAAAAGCCTGGTGCATGTAAACACTCGTTTGCCCAAGTTTAATAGTCTACTAACTTAGTTTAGGACTGCATGATGTCCGTTTTTGTAAATAAGATGCATCTTCATCATCCTGACTGACAAGTTGGAGTTGAACATGTGTGTTCCCCTTTATTGCTTATAATATTGGGCATGTGTAATGTGTATATTCATTGCACTTTAGCAAATTCTGAGAAATAAAGCCACAAAGTGAGAATGTTTTTGTTTTGGGCATTTTTAGAGTAACACAAATTCACAAATGTTAACATAAATTACTCAAATTAATRTGTAAAGACTAATATGTTGTCTTTTTAAGACTAAACTAAACAATTTTTTTAAAGCTTTCGTTGACTAAAACTTGACTAAAACCATTAAATGTAGAAATGACTAAAACTGACTAAAACTAAGACATATTTTTGTTCAAAAGACTAAGACCAAAATTAAAACGGCAGTCAAAAACAACTGTTGGTGGGGGAGGAAAACAATCCAGATGCGAGAAAATGCAGAGTTGCAAGGAGTTTTTTCCCACAGGAGACCTGGCATGGCTTTCTATTTGTGACTGGCTCCAAATCACATWCATGTCAACCCCTTTGGTCGTTTATTTACAGGGGTGGGGGTGCTGATGACATCCACAGTATTTTGTACAACCTGACAGTAATCATATATTCTACATATTCATGAATGCCAACATGTCAAATGTACTGCGTCTGCTATTTTGCTCATTTGACAGACAATCCTCGGTGCACATGGTTAGTAGATTAGCTTTAGACGGGCTATTAAGTTTGCATGTCTATTTYTACACAAACCTGTAGTGGATCAGAAGTTTCATAGGTTTTATGCAAACTCTGTTTTATAGACATATACTGTACATCTCAGCTAGTTTTACGTTATACAATTATTCCATATTTGCRACATTATACGTATTGCTTTTAGTGTTTTAC